TTTGGAAGGAAAAGAGTAGGTCGTTAAGAAGAAAAATACCTGTCACAAGCAGTGAATGACTCTGTCGTCCCTTACTGTGTAACATAACCGTGGGGTAAACCCACGGTTTACAGCGGGTCACAGGTGTGTGGGGGCCCTTGGACACCGCCCCTGGGTTTCTGCTCTGTCCAGGAGACACAGTAGCTGCTGGCCCAGTCCTGGGTCATCTGTGGCTGGGCTCCAGAGTCTTCGCTTACTGTGTGTTTTGCTTTCTTGTTAAGGTGTTTAAAGCTTTTATGATGGCTTATTAGATTTGTGATTTTAATGCCATACTTATAGAATCATGATTGAGTCGGTAATTAATAATTAAATCTATCTAATCAGACTTAATGTAAGATGCGTGGAAGCCAAGAGTTTTAAACTGCTTTGCTGCATGAATAAAATTTAACTCTAAAGAAACGTGGATTGTTCAGAAACCGGCCCACTGACCGGGACACGGGGCTGGTGGCCACAATGGTCCCGTCCCCTCCTTTCCCTGGGGACTGAACTCCAGGCCTTCACACCGAGCTCCCTTCCGACCCCTTCTTTAAATGAGTCATTTTGAGAAACGTCTGGCTAAGTCATTCAACTACGCTCGAATTACAATCCTCCTGCCTCAGCTTCCCAGAGAATTGAGATGATACACATGCACCCCCATATCCTGCTTAGTTCTAGAATATTCCATGTGGCGATTTGGACTGTGGCTGACCACTGGCCACGGGTAACAAGAACCACGGGAGAGCATGGCCGGTCAGACCGCTGTCCTTGGTCAATGCGACTCTGGAGCTCACGCTGGGCGCTGGAAGGGGGCGGGCAGTTCCTCTGGGGGTCACAGTGACCAGAGCACTGCTGGGCTCCTAGAGGGTGTTCACTGGGCCTCTCTGGGAGGTTCACCGGGGGCCGCCTATGGAGCCTGAGCAGCCGCCCTGATTTATGACTCAGTGTTTCTACTGATGGACCAGCAGTGGCTGCAGGGCTGAGGTGCTGTCCCCTTGGTGCTCCGGCCCTTCCACTCCAGGCAGCATCGCCTGCCATTCTCAATTCACACAGCAGGCACACAGCGGGCATGAGAAGTGGACACACGCAGTGACCGCCATGGCCTGCAAGGATCAGCTAATAATCACGGCTCCTGGAAGCTGGGTGGCCTCTCCCCACTGACCGGGGCTCCCAGTGCCTAGGAGGACTCCACCTGTGCTGCCACCTACCTCGGGGACCAGGGATCGAACTCATGACCGCCTGCTTGTAAGGCAGGTGCTTATGCCGCTGAGCTAAATCCCCAGCCCCAATATATGTTTTTTAAATGTAGGAATATGCTACTTTTTTTTTTTTTTAAGACAGTGTCTCGCTGTATAGTCCAAGCTGGCCTCGAACTCACTATGTAGCCCAAGCTCATCTTAAACTCGCAGTGATCCTCCTGCCTCAGCCTCGTGAGTGCTGAGATTATGGGCATGTGATGCCATGCCTGGCCACACAGTGTTTTGGAATCACGCCTCTAATGTATACTCTTTTGTGGTCAGGGCTGGCCCCACCAGGGCTGGCCCCACCTGGGGCTGCCCTGGCAGCCGCTGTCTGGAAGCTACTGAGAGCCAGTTAGTCCCAGTGCCCAGTACCTGGCCTGGGTCAGCTGGGAGCCTCTGGTGTCCTCTGTGTGCTTTATCCCCCCTCCCCGGCTGGCTGAGGCTTTGTGACGTGGCCCCTGGGGCCCTGAAGGACAAGCCCATACTGATTAAAAAAAAAAACATATCATCATAAAAGACACATAATCATGAGTTCCCCTCCAAATCCTCCGTCTCCAAACACGCAGCCCCCTGTTCTGGTCACTGTCTGAAGCAGCTCTGGTGTCCTCTCTCATGATGGTCTCTAGCTGCACCATCCTGACCACCTGCTGTCCTGAATTGAGTCCATGCTCGCTCTGACCTTGGGGACGAGCCAGAGGGTGCTCAGTGTCAGACCTGGTGATTGAGGTGGGTGAGAACTGCTGTTCTGTTGGGTGGTGCTTGGCACCATAGTTTTGATCATACTTCATAAGGACTCTCAGGAAAGAGGACTCCAGAACTGCTCCGGAAGGGGTCGAGACTGATGGGATAGATGTGTCCATGGTACGGGGGGGACTTGAAGGAATGGATGGCCATGTATCTTTTACTGTAATTGTTTTTTGATTCTTTGGAGAGAGTCTCATTACATAATTTAGGCAGGCCTCGACAAACTCACAGCAATCCTCCTGCCTCAGCCTCCCGAGTGCTGGGATTATAGGTGTGCACAACCACAGCCAATCTGTAATACATTTTAAAAATTTAAGTGTTCATTGTATTTTTAAAATTACCTCTCTGTACAAGTTTGCTGTTTCGAGCCCCTTCAGGGTAGTTTTCAATAAATAACTGACCCTAACTCCAACAGCCACCATTTAGGGGCAGCATGCTCGCATCTATGTATGCGTATTTCTAGATGGAAAAACCTCCGCGTGAACTTTCGTGTGTATATTTATGGTTGTACACACTCATGGGCTGGCACACAGCGTATGTGTGTAAATGCTCATAACCAAAACAGGAGCGATGAAGCCCAGCGCTCACTGCTGTGATGTGATGACCATCTACGTCGCCGTCCTCTTCACCCTGCCCTCCCTCGCTTCCTCCCTCATAGTGACCCTGGCTCCTGGCCTCCTGGTGGCTGCTGCTGTGGCCAGAGAAGCCCTGGTCGATGGTGTGGGCTCCCGCGGGGGACGTGGGGTCAGGGGCAGCCCTTCCTGCAGTTCCCGTGTGATGGAATCGCACAGCTGCGGGTTCAGGGAGGGCGACTCAGACGCTGCCAACTCTGCAGAAGCAACAGAGACTCCTGGGAGCGCTGGGCCCTGACACCCGAGGTCCCTGCAGGGCGCCCGTCAGGGGAGGACCCCGGCCCACCTCTCCAGCTCTGTCTGTTACCTGCGTGCTGGACTCCCGCTGGGCACCGGCTCCCCATTCCTCCTGGATCCCCGAAGGGTCCCCACTCCTTAGCTGTCAGACTTTTCCAGTTTTCACTGCTGTTAGTCACCCCTTCTGCCGACGGAGCCCTCTCTTTCCCCCGTGCTCCAAGTCTGAACCTGAGGCGCTCGGCTCTCACCCCCAGCTCAGTCAAAGACACTTGACAAACAAAACCACGGTCCTGACAGTGCACGCCATGCCGTTCCACACACATGTGTGCATATGTGCAGGTGTGCGGTGAAGATCCTCCCCTCCCCGTGTTCCTGGCCCAGGACACTCTGGTAACCACACCCCACAGCTCTCGGCACTCGGCCCTGACCCTCTGTCCTCCTCTCCTGGGGCGCCCACTCCTCCCCACCACGGCACACCGGTGCCCCCACTCTGCTGATTCCCGGTCCCCCTACAGGACACCCATCGAGTGCCTTCACTCTGCCCCTGCCCTGTGACCTCCCCAGGTCCCACGCCCCCCGGGTCCCCTCTGGAGTGTCACAAGAGTGCCCATCAGCCTCGTCTTTGTCATTTCAATTTGTCAAGTGATTTCTGCTGTGGCTGACAAGGCTCTCTGAAGATGACAAGCAGCCTTACACCACTCCCTGCGTGTGCACGCTTTAATCACCCACACCTCCTTCCCACAGAAAACCACAGGCAGGGGTGAAGGCCCCCTAGGCCTGCCGGGGCCTGTTTCCAGCCCACCTAATGCTGACTTGGAGTTAACCCTTCACCTGGGCTGTGACTCTTCTGCCTGACACAGGGCGTGACAGCCAAACCAATGGCCATCTTGATTGGCCTTGGAGCCTTCCAGGGGATCACCTGAGTGTACCTGGCGGGTCATGGAGACACCTTGGGTGTCAGACCTGGCCCCCGGCCCCTTCCCCTCTGACACCACTCCGAGCTTAGTTTCCGGCCACCACGAAGTGACTGTCATTCCTTCTCCCGCTATGATGCTCCTGCTCTGGAGCCAGCTGACCGTGGCTGAGCCCCTGGGAGCCACAAGTCAGATAAGCTGTCTTGCTTTAAACTGCAGGAGACAGATATTTGCTCCAGTGATGGAACCGACCAACTCGGGGGAAACAGGGGCTCAGAGTGTGTAAAAGCTGGCCAAAGACCCCACAGCTCCCGCAGGGCACTGCCACAAATCACACCCTACATACAGCCTGGCTCCCAAACTCTCTTTTGTCCTGTGAAAGCTGTGGAAATCAAAACGTGTCAATCCCTACTAACCACAGAAAGTTAAGTACGGCTGAGGGGTTGGAAGGGGGACCTGGGCACAGGAGCCAGAAGACCCAGGAGCGCTCCGAGCCTGGAGCCAGACTCAGCCACGCGTCCAACTGCTCCCGCTGGGTGAGCTGCCTCCGCATTCCGCCTGCCACTCTGCCCCTCTAACGGCTGGCCCCAGCTCCCGCCACCAGTCCTGGGGACAGTGTTCTCTCTGCTGCAGGACAAGTGCCACTACTTGTCTGTTCTGCCTTTAAAAACTTCCTGTGGCCTAAGCCTGGGATGCGTGCCTGGCCTCCACAGCTCCGTAACCCTGATTGCAATTCTCCGCCACCTCTGATTATACTCAGCAGCCCTCAGGGGCATCCTCTGCTACTCAGGTTGATGCTTCATTAAAAATATCTCTTTATCTAGAAATAATTCAAGCTTACAGGAAAGCTGCAAGAATCATATAGAGAATATACCTGCGTGCTCTCCACCAGAGCATACCGTTAATATTTTGCCTCTGTCTTAGCTATTATATTTATTTATTATTATCAATGATTCTCTTTACGAACCATCAGGAATCCACCGTACATATTACCGCCCTCCACCCACGACGGTCCCTGAGCCTGCAGTCACTCCAGGGGAAATATTCCCTCTGACACAGCCAAAAATAAAGACACGCTCTTACATAAACACAGCGTGTTACAAAACTCGGGAAACAAGATGTTTTATGTAAATCTTCCCAGCTGTCCATCTCTGTTCTAATTTTGTCAAGCGACCTGACCACGTGTTTATGTCTGGTTCTTCCCTCCGGCACACGCCCCGGGTCTTTGGACAGAAGCCACAGTGGGGTCTGCTGTCCACCGTCCACCCGCAGGCAGCGTCTCCCTGGCCTCCGCTTCTCCTCGAAGCATGGCTTCTGTTCCCAAGGACCTCGCCGCCCCTCCCCAGCTGCCTGCCCTGTGCTTTATCTTCTAGTTCTTTCCTCCTGCTGGGCCAGGCTCCGAGTTCCCAGCTGGGACACTCAGCGTGGACACCGGATGTCTGCCTGGGCTTCATGAGTTAAGGTAATTTTGATATTTGGGTCAAACTATCCTTTGAGTTGTCCCTTTTTCCAGGTAGTGATGAGCATCCTGTAGAGGATACCTGAGACAGTGCCAGTGTCCTGCCCCATGCATGGCACGAGCTGACCATGCTAGCCCTGTGCCCTTGGGTGCAATGGGTTCCCTCTGAGCCGCCTCCGTTACACACGTGCTCCCCATGTCTCGTCCAAGGCACCACGGTCCCCACCATCCAGAGGGAGCTAGGTGACCTCAGTGACAGCCCACGCTCTGGGAGGGCTGCACTGTGCCCACTCTTCTCCGTCTCCATCCCTCACTGGGCCTGTAAGCTGATTGAGGACCAGGCCCCTCTCCTGCTCCCTGTCCACAGCAGGGCTTGTTCTCTGATGCATCCTGAGTGAAGAGAAGCCAGGATTTCAGTGTGGTCAGCAGAAGGCCCAGGTCCTAAGCCCTGGGACCGGAAGCCTGTCACCCATGTGGCAAGGGGGAGTTTGTCGATGCAGTGAAGTTAGGGGTCCTCAAATGGGATGATCTTAAGGGTCCTGGGCCCAATGTCCACCTAGTGCTCTTGTGAGAGGGAGGCGGAGTCTGCACGGAGGTGGAGGCGGAGGCTGTGTGGCTGGCACCGGGGTGGAGGAGAGAAGCTGGAGAAGCAAGAAACAGAACAGTTTCCAAAGAAACAGGGTCCTTGGGCCACCTTGATTTTACCCCTGCAAAACCTGTGTTTGTACATCTGACCTCTGGATGGTAGGACAGCAAGTCTGTGAGTTGGGGACAGGCCACCCTGTTTGTCACAGCAGGCCACCTTGGAGCAGAGCACGGCACCCCCACCTGTCCCCACTCGGGTCCCCTGAGGCCTCCCCGAGGACTCCTGCTCTGCAGCCTGTCTGGCAGAATCCAGGCCTCAGCCCAGGCCCAGCACTTGCAGCTGGATCCCGGGTTGGGGAGTTGCTCCAGGGCTCTGTCACTCCAGCCCAGCAGAAAGAAATCCTGCACTTGAAAGAGCCCTGGGCTTTTTGTCCCCAAGACGAAAGCAGGGAGATCTTGCCCCAGGAGAAAACAGGAGACTCCCAGAGCTTGCTGGACTTGGGTGACCAAGCAGAGGGTAGACAGGAAGGGACACCACTTTAAGTGACGAGAGTGAGGCTTGGATTCCAGGGCAGCAGGGGACCCTAGGCACATGGGACAGAGTTTGCACAGGGGAGCAGGTGCTCATGGCAGGGCGGCGTGCACAGTACAGATGTAGCCCCCCAGCTCCAGACAGCAACCTCGGGCAGCTGCATGACTCTCCCTGCAGAGAGGAGGTGCCTGGGCTCCCAGACTAAGCAGTGTTGCAGGGCCACCTTAGTGAGTGGCAGAGCAGAGCCACCCGCCCCGGCCTGACTGTGGGTCCTCTGAGCTGCAGGCACTGGCACCAGAGCCGGAGCCCCGGGGCGCCTGCCCCTTCCACAAACCCTTGTCCCAGGGTGCTCCATGGCAGGCACAGCTCCAGGTGGCCCTGCACCCTCCGTGCGGCCTGCAAAGGAGCCCATTCGGAGACTGTTCAGAGGGACAGCACACTCAGGAGGCCCAGTCGCAAGGGGCTTCTATTCCACTCCTAGGGCACCCTCTGGGAGCAGCACCCCAATACCCCGGGAAAGGAGGAAAGGACTTCCCGAGCTGACAGCTCCAGATGAATGAGAGAAAGCACTGGTCTGCAAAATCAGCTCTGCTTGTGAGAATCATGCATCCGCAGCCCCTCCTCCCAGAGTGGCCTGGACATGTGTGTCACCCAGGAGAGGGCTCAGGGTCACCCCGTGCTGGGCAGGTGGGACAGAGCAGGATCATGTGAGCAGGATACATGCAGGGTGGGGACCATGCACAGTGCTTAAACTCCCCTGCACTCTGGGGAGAGTGCTAGGTTCCGAGATCACTTCCTGAGTGGGTGGAAATCAATGCTGAGTGGCCCCACCATGCCTGGGGGGCTGAGTCTCGGCGCTCAGTCCCTGAGAAGGACCAAGTTGTTCCTGGTTCTGTGTGTGAGCAGATGGAGGTGGTGCGCTCACACCCCAACCTGCAGCTCTCCCGCCTGGCTCCCTGACAGTCTCCCACCTCCGGCAGACAGGCAGGATCTCACTGAGCAGGGGCCTTCAGAACCCCCATCTGAAGGGAGCAGCTTTTCACAGCCTCCCACGCTCTGCATCTAGGGTGCTCCCAGGCCCCGGGGTGCCCCCTTCAGATGAGAGTCCGGCCAATGATGCATGGGGTGGGCTGTACGGGAAAGGCTGGGGTGGAGAGAGGTTCTAGGAGTGTGTCCTGTGTGTCCTGGTCGACGGTGGCTCCCGATGCAGCTAGGAATCACCTCATGGCTCTGAAACAGGGCCCCTCAAGTGATGCACTCGGGAGGAGGGAGATGAGTGTCCAGCTCAGAGCCCCCACCCATCTGGAGCTCTTCTTCAGGGCCTCTTTGCTGTTAGTCTTTGGGCATCCTAAGTGGCATGTTTACAACAGGTGACCCATCCAGCCCCTCTGAGGGGTGACGTCCTGGGCTACCTGGTGAGCATTCAGCAGATCCCGGGGTGGAGCAGGTCAGGTAAGGTCCATTTGTGTTGTGGGGCGCAAAGTCCAGGCTGCTGCAGGCTGTGCTGCCCCACCCTATGCCTGCACAGGGGACAATGAGTTCCCCAAGTTTTGCAATTTATATTAGGGAGCTAGAATGAGACAGGACCGATTTGTTCATTAAGCTCACAAATACTGACGCTTTGAGCTGTGAGGAGTGGAACAAAGGGCCCTCCCAGCTTTGGGTGCGGCTCCTTTGACTTCTGGCAATCTCAGCGCATTCCACGCGTGCTTGGTGACTGGGGACGGTTGCCAATTTACAGGACAAAACGTGCATGTTGAGACTTGATAGTAATGATGCTTCTTTCACCAGGAAGGCTTGTGTTGTTTGTAACAAGTCGCCCAAGGCATCTATATCTGGCTTGGTGGCAGATGGCAGGTGCCCTAAGCTATTTTTCTCATCCATTTTGTTCTTTTTCTTGTTCTTTTTTAAAAACTTCTGGACTCTTGGTAGAGAGGGAGCTAGTGTATTCTGGCTGTGTCAATCCCAGGTGTGTCATGGATGCAGTGAAGTTGGGGTGCTTTCTGGGCTGCCTCCTTCTCTGGACCCCAGTTTCTCAGATGTCAGTGATTGTCTCTGCTCTTTTTGCAGCCCTGTAGCATCAAGAGCGGGAACCTGCTGTCGGCCACAACAAACAGCACTGCCTCGTGGTCACTGTCCCTTCCTCCTTACTCAGGCGGGGCTGGCGCCCCGAGAGCCTCCCCACAAGCACACACAGCAATACTCCTTGCAACCGTGGAACAGAGCAGCTGCAGAACCCAGAGAGGCTCACAGCTGCCAAACCGAATGGAGGTGCCTGAGTAGGACCCTCCCCAAATGTACCGCGCCCCCTGCAGCTTCTGTGGCACCCAATTTGCACCCGCTCCTGCGGTGTCTTTGTGCCGTGTAATCGTCCTCATGTTCTATGTAAGAAGGTTGTGATTATGTAGGGTTGTTTTCCTTATCTTTACTCAGAATGTTAGTTCGGAATAGAAGGCGTCATTTTGTTCTTGTCGTAATGGTTTATTACAGAGGTATTTCTTTTGAAATGTCGCAGAAATGTTCCTGGCTCTGTGTTAGTTTGATGACATCCAATTTTCAGGGCATCATTATCGCTCCTCCTAGATTCCTTTACCTTCCATGGGCTCTACAGACTCACCGCCTCGATATTTCTAGGATTGACATTCATCCACTGTGTACACAACACCAATGTTCCGGATAGAATGCCGATATTGTATCTCAGTCACTGAACATTACACTTCAATTAATCTGGGGTAAGACATTGATCTATTTTTGCGGACTGGGAATATCACGCCAACCCATTACAAAGAGCTTCTACGGTGAACTTAAATGCAAATGAAACATACAGATTTATAAAAATACATTAGCTGATATTAATCTACCCTGATCATGAAATGTTAGCTGAAAATAAAACCTCAAGCCATCTGGTCTCTGTGATGCTTACATAACTTGAAAATTGTGATCATTATTAAGAGCATAATGTGGCTTCTCAGATCATCATAATCAATCTGATGTTTTACATGTGTGACATACATAATTTAATTGCTGTTTTCTCCGCAGCTGTCGAGCTGCTTGCTAGATGGCTGGGTGATGTCTGGCGGGAACAGGGGTGCAGGCGGAGCGAAGGTTTCATCATGGTGTGCTGTGCAGAGAGCTGGGCTGGCTGAGGAGAATTCTACCGGAAGGGGAATCTGAGGAGCGGAAGGGGAGCCAGGACAGGCCCAGAGCTCCCTGGGATGGGCAGACCGCAGGGCGAGGGTGAGTCTGCAGCAGCTCAAGGGAGTGATCCGGCGGCCTGGAGACACAGGAATAGACTGCCTGTCGGGGTTAATTACTGACTCCACGTTTGCATTCCCGGATGCCTGCGCATTTCAGGGGCGAGGGACTGAGTTAAGGAAGAATCAAGGGCGGCTCCTTGCTTCTGCAATAGAAAACACTGCCAAGGAGGATCTCTGGGGAACACCTGATCCACTTGATTTTGGATGTCTCTAATGTCACTTATCCATGCGATGCCCAAGCCGGTACTCGGCATGGACACTGGGTGTCACCAGTGGGCATGGGATGATGTCCAGCGCCGCATCCGTGCAAACGCCGGGCTCCCAGGCAGCAGGGGCTGGGCCTCAGGATGCCCTGTGTCCTGTGCTCGGCCAGTGGAGGCGCAGTGTCGAGCTGCAGGGCTTCAGGAGAGGCTCGGGGGTCCCCCAGGTGCCAGGGCCTCACCAAATGCTACCCAAAAGTTTGGGGTGCAGGGGGAGACGGAGTCTCAAGTTTCCACAGAAGCACTGGGTTCTGCCATCCCACGAGGTTTTCTTCATCCTGTCCTGGACTCCCAGAGAAGGAAGGAGGGAGGAGCTGAGGGAGACAGATAGTGGGAGTGTGCGTGGCGGAGGTGGCACTGCCACCGTGGGACACGCTGGGTGGAGCATGCTAGGCTGGTGGGCTGGAGCAGGGGAGAGGGGACCGTCATCAGTCAAATGCTGCACCTGGGGGGGAGGGGCTGCGTTTCCTCCGGGTTCCTGCTGAGCATAGCCTGCGGTACGGTGTCATTGGCCCTCGGCCCTCACCGTCTTCCTCCATTTCTTGTAAAATTCAATTTTCCTTGACCACTTTTCTTTCACTCTTAGGCCACAAGGTCTGAGCTGCTGGCTTCAGAGATGGCCTGGAGCTCAAGCCCAGCCAATCAGTGAACTCCATTCTAATTGGGTGAGTTGATTGGTTCAGAGATGAGCGGATGATCCCAAAGGAACCAATCAGATTGAAAGGAGGGCCCTTTTTCGTTGGCCAGCGCAGATCACGTGACCCAGTCCCCCAGTCCCCGCCTGGCTGGAGAATGAGGAGGTCTGCAGGAGGGACAGAGGGACAGAGGGAGACAGAGACTGTCCCCAAGGCAGTTCCTGCAGCCAGAGGGACCCTGGGACGTCCCAGGTAGGAGGCAACGTCCTCCGATCACGCTCAGGTTTTTGCACCACGGTGTGTGCACCCGAGCTGGCTGACCTTCCTTCCCGGCATCGTGTCATCGTGTTAGGGTTACAGAGGGCGGTGGTGGCAGTGGCAGTGGTGGCAGCGCAGGAGTGCAGGGGCACTGGCCTGCCTCTAGTTCTGAAGCGTCATCCTGAATCCGTCCTAAGCCATCTCCCCTCTTGGGGGGCCTCCTCTTCTCCTCTGGCACCTTTGTCAGGCAGGGATCCCGTGGGACCACAATAATGACTCTCCCAGTGGCACTGCCTGACCCCTGCCTGGATGCGGAGCCTGTGTCAGAGTCGTGTCCTGCTGGGTTCAGGGACTGAGCGGGCACAGCTCACAGGGAGCAGGGGCAGCATGGGCCTCATGCCCAGTGTCACACGCTGGACGATGATGGTGAACGTCAGGGCTGAGCTGCATTCCCAGGGGACTTCAAAGGACATCGGGACCTGGACCCACTCCTGCGGGACTGACATCCTTTTAAAGGACACCAGGGAGCCCGCTGGGTGCATACAGCAGAGGCCACGAGGATATCAGGAAGATGGCCATGTACCAGCCAGGAGGGGACACTGGCAGACAGGCCTGCCCTGTTCCTCTATCCTGAGCTGCAGGCTCCAGAGCTGTGGGAAAATAAACCAGGGCTTTGGCCGCCTGGTCTACCACGTTCTGTGTGGGGCATCAGTGAACACAGGGACTAGAAGGGACTGCTGACGTCGGCACTCAAGGCCAGACATCACCTCGTCCTTGCTGACCTGGGCCTGCCTTCAGGGTCTTCAAGACAACATCCCTGCTGCAGGGCCCACCCCCCTGGGGACACCATGTGACGGCAGGCGCCACCGCAGCTGGGGTCGGACTCTGAATCCTGGCCGGCTTCCCCTCCTCACCTCTGCACCGCAAGGTGCTGACTCGTGCAGCATGGACCGTCCACAGCACCACGCCAAGCTCTGGGTTGTGTCCAGCTGCGCCGTTTCCTCCCCACATCCAGACAGCCACGATTACATCCAGGAAGCCCAGGACTGCACTGGGGATTTTCACTCTGCCCGACCGACAGACACAGCCCCTGTCTGTCCATCCTTTCTTCCTTCTCCTGGGAGCTGATCTCGGTCCCATCCCCAGATCTCTTCCCCCTGGGTCTGGTCAGGGTTGGCCAGTGCACGGCTGTGACCCAAAGTGAGACCAGGGCAGACAGGGGTGGTCTGCTCCTGTCGGAGTCCTCCCAGCTGGGCTGCTGCTTCCTGGCCAAAGCTCAGCTCTCACAGCAGCCGCTGGGAAGAGTGGCCATTCCAATTGCTGCTTCAAGGGTGGGGACGTGGCCGTCAGTGACGGGGACCTGCCACCTAGGGCGGGTCGTTGGGTCTCCGTGAGCTTCCTTCTGTCTTTCCTCCCTCCCTTCCTTTCCTTTGTGTCTGCCTCCGTCTCTCTTTCTCTGTTTTTTGCAGAACTGGCGACTTGACCAGACCCTTCATACTGAATTTCCTTTCCAGCCCTTGATAAAAAGGCTTTAGATCCAGTGCTGGGACAAGGTCTTGCTAAGTTTCCTGGGCAGGACTCCACCCTGAGACCCTCCTGCCTCAGGCTCTCAGAGTGCCGGGAGTACGGCTGCACCACACCTGGTGGCCTGTCCATCTCCCTGACTCGGCTGCCCACAGGGGTAGGCGGGTCATGTGGATAAGCAGGACAGGTCAGGGGTGAAAAACATTGAAGGGGAAACAGATGATGAAGATGGAGCCTTGGCTAATGGAGGACCAGGAGTGGGAAGGAACGGGGAGGGAGGAGGAGGGGGATGAGGAAAGTAGACTTAAGATGTGCGAGGTTCACTCACCAACTCCCTGCAGGTGCCACGAGCACGTGCACTAAGAAACACAGAAAAGCCAGTAAGTGCAGAGGGGCTCGTGCACAAGGGCTCTGCCTGCCGGGACGAGGGGCCCTGGCAGGCTGGGTTCTGTGGTCAGGTGAGCAGGCACCGGCCCCTCGTGGTGAGCACAGATTTGAGCAGACGCTGCGGCTCCCTGGCTGAGGTCAGGGACTTGGTCTTTAAACACTGGCCACCAACTTCATTCCAGACTTCTGTGAATTAGCCAGCGTCCTGCTTACCAGAACACAGAGATGAGCAAAATCGAATGTTTTTGAGTAAAATGCAGGAACTCTTGTGACGCTGTGGACGGAGCATCACACAAAATACCTGGCCATTCCCGCTCGGGAAAGGACCTGCCTTCCTCTTATTTTGGAGCAGCTGGTGGCAGAGACACATGTGCACCCCACAAACGCCCCACTGTGTGATCTACATTGCTTCCTGCTCAGCAGACTTCCTGGCACCAGGGGCATCTCTGCGTCTTGTGGGGACCGCACTGGAGCTCTGCAGCTGGGAGAGAGGCGCCTTGTTCCCTCCAGCAAGAGGGGCAGCTCTCTATCCCCCAGGATCTCCCCAGATGACCTCGGCTAGACATGGACAGTGCGCCAGGTGCCCATCTGTCTACAGCGATCAGCACTGCCTCTGCATGTGACAGTGGCCCCAGGAGCTGGACCTGTCCCCAGGCCTCAGCGGCCACTGCCTGTGCCTGCACCTTCCCTTGCTGCCTCCCAGTCCCCAGCTTCCCGTCACAGAGTGTGACTTCACACATCCGTGCCCTTAGCCCTCCAGGGCAGGGCCAGGTCCCACAGGTCTGCAGGTGACAGCAGCTCCTTCAGTACTAGAGTCATCAGAGTGTGAGTTCAGAGGGCCAACTGCCCAGAGGACAGCCAGCCCTGCTCCCCAGGTGTGTTTCTAAGGAGGAACTTTTGAAATTGTGAAGAACTTCCTTTTACCCAGAATTCCTCTCTGAAGTGCAGAGAACTTCCTTTTACCCAGAATTCCTCTCTGAAGCACAAAGAACTTCCTTTTACCCAGAATTCCTCTCTGAAGTGCCGAGAACTTCCTTTTACCCAGAATTCCTCTCTGAAGTGCAGAGAACTTCCTTTTACCCAGAATTCTTCTCTGGAGCGCAGCAAACTACTTTACCCAGAATCCCAAGGCAGGCATTGCTGAACATAAGATGTGGCCATTGTTGCTGCTTAAAAAGGTTCATGGGTGAGTGGGTGAACCCTCCAGAAGAAAAAAAAGATGCTAGAGTAAGTCCTTTCCTTCTGGTCTTCTCCAACATTCTCCAAAACAACTCGGCTTTTGCAAAAGGTAAAGATCGCAGCAGCAGTCACTGAGCTAGGACGAAGACTTCAGAGGGAGAAAGTTGTGGCCCTTCTTGGGGAGCGCGCGTGTCCCCTTTGAGGGTGAGATCAGTGTCAGCGGGAGCTAAGGGTCACCGTGAGGACTTCCACTGCAGAAGGCCCCTTCCACGGCAGCCGCACTGAGGCATGGGACATGGTGATCCTGTGTGTGTTACAGGCTGTGTACATGGCACACACTTTCAGCCTTCCTCTGAGGAAACCCCCAGCCCTCGTTTCTCTGAGTCTCGTCTCCTGCCAGGACTGCAACCACCTTCAGGCCTCTGGA